GTCCCTTCCATTGACGAGTAAACAGCAACCAAGGCTCAGCTATAGCAGGAAGGCACACAACCCATACAAGAAACATACCTGGAGCACCCAGCTCAGGTGACCAGAGAAGACTGTGTCATTGGGACCTACAGCATACCTACTATATAAAGCCATTCTACTAAGACTGGGAGATACAGCAGCCCTACCTAATACATAGAAACGAACACAAGGAGGCAGCCAAAATGGTGGGACAAAGAAATATGTCCCAAGTGAAAGAAGAGACTAAAGCTCCAGACAAAGAACTAAACAAAATGGAGACAAGTAAATTACTAGATGCAGAGTTCAAAACACTAGTTATAAGGATGCTCAATGAACTTAGGGGAAGAATAGATGAACTCAGTGAGAACTTTAATAAAGAGATAGAAACCTAAAAGTGGAGATAGAAAACATAAAAAAGAACCAGGCAGAAATGAAGAATACAATAATTGAAAAGAAGAATACCTTAGGAGGAATTAACAGTAGATTAGATGAAGCAGAGGATTGAATCAGCGATTTAGAAGATAAGGTAGCAGAAAATACCCAATCAGAACAGATACAAGAAAAAAGAATCCCCCCAAATGAGGATAGTTTAAAGGACCTCTGGGACAACATCAAGCATACCAACATTTGGCCATAGGGATACCAGGAGGAGAAGAGAGAGAGCAAGGAATTGAAAACCCGTTTCAAGAAATAATGACTGAAAACTTCCCTAAGCTGGTGAAAGAAATAAACATACAAGTCCAGGAAGTGCAGAGAGTCCCAAACAAGATGAACCCAAGAGGCCCACACCAAGACTCATCAAAATTAAAATGCCAAAGGTTAAAGACAAGGATAATCTTAAAAGCAGCAAGAGAAAAGCAGTTAGTTACCTACAAGGGAGCTCCCATAAGACTGTCAGCTGATTTCTCAACAGAAACTTTTTAGGCCAGAAGGGATTGGCAGGAATTATTCAACATGAAGAAAAGCAAGGACCTACAACCCAGATTACCGGGCAGAACTATCATTTAGAATTGAAGGAAAGAAAAAGTGCTTCCCAGACAAGAACAAGCAAAAAGTTTTTCATCATCAAGTGAGTATTATAGGAAATGTTAGAAGGACTTCTTTAAGAAGAAGAAAAAAGAAAAAAATTAAAAATGTGAATAATAAAATAGCAACAACTACATATCTTTCAACAGTCACTTTAAATGTAAATGGATAAATGCTTCGATCAGAATATTGGGTGGCTGAATGGATAAAAAAAACAAGAGCTTTGCATATGCTGCCTACAAGAGACTCACTTCAGATAAAAAGACACACACAGACTAAAAGTAAAGGGATGAAGAAAGATATTTCATGAAAATGGAAACAAACAAAAACAGAGCTGGGGTAGCAATACTTATACTAGACAAAAAGACTTTAAAACAAAGGCTATAAAAAGAGACAAAGAAGGACCCAGTTATCCCACTTCTGTGTATTTATCTGAAGAAACCCAAAACACTACTTTGAAGTGGCATGTGAATCCATATGTTCATTTCAGCATTATTTACAGTGGCCAAGATATGGAGGCATCCTGGGTCTCCATTAATGGACGAATGGATGAAGAAGAGGTCACACACACACACTGGAATATTACTCAGCCATTGAAAAGAATGAAACCTTGCTATCTGCAACAACATGGATGGACTTAGGGGGTATTGTGTTGAGTGGGGTAAGTCAGACAAAGACAAATGTCATATGCGGAATCTAGAGAACAGGATAAACAACAAAAATAAGCTCATAGATATGGAGAGCATTTTGATGGTTGTCAGATGGAGGGGTGAAGGGATGAGTGAAGGAGAGGGCATTAAGAGTTACAAATTGGTATTACAAAATAGTCATGGGGATGTAGCATATAGCATGAGGAATATAGTCAGTAGTATTGTAATAACTACGGTGTCAGATGGGTACTGGATTTATCAGGGTGATCACTTAATAAGTTACATAAATGTCTAATCACTGTGTTGTACATCTGAAACTAATATTGTATGTCAACTATAATTGAAAAAATAAAAATTAAAAAAAATAGTTTGGCACTATTATGTACACTAAAGAAGAAAAAGCTAAATTTAATTAAAAATTTTTTTTAAAATCGTAGAATCACATGCTTAATCAGATGCTCCAGAACATTTACCATTATAATTGTTAGAGTGATCAATTATTGTAGTACTTAAATGTAAAGCGAAGGCAAACAAGCTGAAAATTCTCATATTCACACACACACACACACACACACACACACACACACACATTCTTGCTTCTTTCTCTAGAATACCTCTAAAACAGAATGACAACACAATATTCAAAGCGACAGTTTAGCCAAAATTTAATTTTTGAAGAATAAAAGCTGTATCAATATCATGTCTCTACACTTTTACTGTCATTTTTGACTCTTCTCAGTACTTCTCAATTTATTTTCTTCAGCCTGGACTGGTATAAAAATTTTTCTAGTTCATTATCTATCATTTAAAAAAATACCAGATAATTAATTCATAAAAGGCCCAATGGGTCTCTTCAGAAGCCATAAAGGATAAAATGGACAGAGAAGTGATAACTGAAGAGAAGAACACAGATAAGCAAAGACCAAAACATAACATACAGAGAAGTTTTAAGACATCTCAGAATGTCGATAAAATATGACTTAAAACTTCTATGAAAGAGAAGCCATACTTCCTAACCTCAAAAAAGTCTGAAGAATGATTAATGTAATGGCTAGGTGGAGAGCCAGAGGTGAGAAAGAGCAATTAGGGGGGGTCATTTTATAAACTATATAAATGTCTAACCAATATACTGTATACTTGAAACTAATAATAAAGTAAAATTTAAAAATCTGAAGAATGGAATTTTTTATTCTCTATCTACAGATATTTCAGTATTTTGAAATTGTGCATTCTTTCCATACATTTTTAAATTAATCGAATAGAAGAAATGATCTTTCTTTTAATGAATATCTTACATTAAAATTATGACTTACTCTCATATTATACTGATACATGTTGTTTTTCTTAAAAACTATTTGGAAAAATTTTAAAAACTATAAAGATTTGAGTAATGGTTGCATGAAGTATAGAAATGATACACCAAGTCATTATCTTTAATTTAAAATGATTCGAATTCTTTCTGCTATACATGAATTGCTTGAACATACATCTGGATCAAGAAAATACAGGCTAATTAAGTCTCGTAAGTCTGATTGTCTCTTGCCAATTGCTCTTGATTTATCCAATATTTGCAGAATTATTGCCAGTTCCTATTTTTCAGCTCCATTTTTTTATTCCAGCCTTTTACAGGACAATGTTGAGAGGTCTTGCTAAAGCCTTGATAATTCTAAAGTCTTGATAATTCAACACCTCATGGCAAAATCTGTCTCAGAAACCTTCCAGGTTTAACAGGTACCTGAGGAACCCCTTAAAGGTAAATGGCCCTAGATTCTCAGTTGGTTATAGTCCAACCATTGGAGTCCCACCAAGGGACTAGATGGATCTAGAACAGGTAGCTAAATCACTCTGGCATCAACATAGGATGAAACACATCTGAGACAAACCTGATCTATCTTCAGTGCTGTCTGCTGACAGGTTTCAATCAAAAGAGGGAGATATAGACACCAAGAAGAAAGATTCATTTGATGCAAACCATGAGAAGGAATTTATCTGCTGAGGTGGACTCCCATGGTCAGCTGAGGGCCCACATTTTATGAATGATAAGAGCCTAACAGCCATTTGCTGACAAGGGCTTCTCACATACTCTGTATACAGAGAACATCAGACTAAACCTTCGGCTTTCTGCACTGCGCTCTGCTTGTTTATGTCTTCTGGGTCAACTCACTGCAGAGAAACCCTGGTTTCATCTTTCTACCAATGTACTGAGACCTATCAGAACTGCACAATTTTATACCTCATTTACATAAAACAGGCCTAATTAAGATCTGGGTGGAAACTTTTCACTGTAAAAGGTGGCCTCCCCTTTGTCTCAGTGGAACACAATTTAGGTTGCTACCAGAATCTGTCCTGTATTGCAGCTTCTTTTTGCTCAAATAAGTGCTTTTGGTTGTTTATTACAGTCTAAAATTAATTTTGGCTTACATGTTCCAGGAGGTGGGAAATAACTCTTAATCTTGGTGCCAAGTACTATATCAATTAGGGTCCAGGAAATGGAAACCATACTAGTCATTTCAAACAAAAGGCATTTAATACAAGGAACTGGTTACACAGATATTAGAAGTCTAAAACAATGACGTAGATATTGAGATAACTCCAAAATTAGCAATTATAGCTACCACTTCTAGGGCTGGGAGAGCACATGGGAAGGGCTAGCATTACCAGAACCCAGGAACTGGAAGGATGGGCCACTACAGGCTGGTGCTGGACTGAGAGACTTGTACATCTCTAAGAGGATGCTGTACAAGTGGTGCTTGGCCCTTTGAGGGGTGCCCTTGGGCTGATGCTCAGAATAGTGAGGAGCTGGAATTTCCTTCAGTTACTGGAGAGTGCCACAGTAGTTGAAAATGGGGAGAGGCCTTTCCTCCCAACTTCCAGTCATCCGCCATTGTCTACCATTGACAGAACTTGAAATCAGCTGGCAAAGGAGTCTGGGAAAGTAGTTTGCAGACTCCCATTCAAGGTGTCACAGCAGAATTGAGAAGAGTAGGCATGGCCTGAGCATAAATAGGTAAATAACAGCACAGCCATTACTTCAAGATTTATTATAGGAAGATGCCCTCTGGTTTTTCTGAAAATATGCCCCTAGCAACTCTTTAGGGTCTTGATTGAAACCTTAGAAATTTTGGAGTTTCTCCCAATAATGCTGAAATTGTCACCATCCCTAAACTATCTAGCTATAAAGCTGATAAAAACTGAAAAAATCTAAAAAAAGAAAAAAGGTACTATGTTCATGGATTGGAAGACTCAACATAATAAAGATATTAAACTATATAGATTTAATACAGTTTTATTAAAATTGCATTAAAATCTCGTTGGTACCCCAAATGTCACTGTTCCCAGGCTCTGTTCACATGGTATAGGGGAGCACAGGGCTCTGCCCCATGATGTACAGTCCCTTTCCACAATGTTGGAGATGAAGCCAAGCCTTGAGTCTACACCTGCATATTCCTACAGTTTCTCAGAGTCCTGTGGATGATGTCTGAGGAGACAAACCAGTTTTGATAGCGTTTGCTTAGATTCCCCTGGGGCTCCGCGGTGATTGGTCTGGGAGGATATTGGGGGAGGGGCTCTCTGGATTGGGAGCTGGGGGCTGCTGCTCAGCCTCGGTTTTGCAGCCATGGCCAGTAAAAATAACTGTTGTTTCTCTGCCATCCGCTTCTCTGCTTTCTGTCCTAATGATTGGGCCCTTCCGTTGGCTGCGTGGAACTTACAAACTCTCCCAGGCAAGGCTGTTCAGGGAAGTTGCCACATCTTCTCCCCTCTCTCTCTCCCTCCATAGAGCTCTGGGGGCTACAAGAGGCAGCTTCTTTATTTCTCTCAGTCTACTGCTCGACACCTGGAGTCTTGACCTGTGGTAGCTCTTATGCTCAAATCTCATGCTCAGACGTGCTGATGTGCAGTTTGGGTGTATTTTGTTGAGTTTTAGATGTTCAGCTTATTGTTGTTTCAAGAGGAGAGATCTGGGGACGTCTCTCACTCTGCCATGTTTCCTTTCTCCTATCCTTCCCACACTTTTTAATCATTGAATCTTTTTGAGGTGTGTCGAGTTTCAGAGTAAATTTTGTGTGGACCAGGTCAGTGGAAATTCTGTCCTCTTTAGGTCTATTCCAACTCTTAGTTGTCCTGATCCCCACCCATGGCGTGGTTGTGACCTCCACTTCAGGCCCCTGAGGGTCATTGGGGAGGAGTGGCCTTAGAAATGCAGCTTTTAAGAACAGGACTTGGATGTGGTTTCATAGTGTAGTGGTTACCATGTCTGCTTTACATGCAGAACGTCCTGGGTTCGTGCCCCAGTGGAGCCATGGTCCATGGTCTACGGCCACGCCACCCTGAACGAGCTCTATGTCTGATCTCGGAAGCTAAGCAAGGTCAGGCCTGGTTAGTACTTAGATGGGAAACCACCTAGGAAGACCAGGTGCTGTAGGCATAAATAATAACAAAAATAAAACAGGACTTCATTCAAGGCCATAATGAAATAATCAAGGTGATCTTCAAATAAGAGTAAACCACCAGGATTATTGTCAGAAGCATCCCTGTCAAAGAAGAAAGAGCACAGGATTTCCGATATGGACGATATATGTGCTTATCTCTACTTGTTATGAACCGATGTCTCATACTGCCCATCACAAGTGAAAATACACATGAATTCAGGAGCATGTGTGAAGCTTAATGACCTTCCTTTGGTTATTTTCCCAAGAGAACAGCAAAATATCCTTAATTTGAAAATAGAACTTTTTGGGTGCTAATGACCTTCAACTGAGAATCTAATGTCAGTGCCTGGTTCATTACCCTAGAAACATTCTAACCTGTATCGATAAAAGATGTGCTTTTATTTTTTTAAAAAGAATAAAATTAAGAGAAACTAAAAAAATAAAATAAGAAGGTTTTTCAAAGTGAGAAGTAACAAGTGTTTATTTGAGATCAATAAAAAAAGCCATTGGCAAGCATTGATTCAAGCAGGAGCCCAAATAATGCTTCCTTTTGACTCTGACAAAGGCAATGGGTATTTATGAGAAAGGCAAGAGTAACAATTACATCAATAGAAGGAAAGCATTTCTATTGTTGCTGATAATATAACACAATAATGTTAATTCTAAATGTTTTTAAATTTCAGTCCAATAGTCATCAGCCCTGTTAATATAGGAAGGAGGCAAGAGAATTAAAACGTTAATCAAGCTACATTCGGAGATTGCAATATGTTGATCAGCCCTGCCGCTAGGCTAGGAGGATACCTTCAGAACAAAGGAAGATTTCTGCTGGAATTGCTCACAGCCCATTCTCTACACCTGTGAAGGGGAAACAAGAACCAAGAGTCATTTCCTATGGCTAAAACCATGGAGGAACCTATGGATTAAAGGCTGAGAACTGCCAGCAGGCCTTTCACTCTACATATTCTTACCTTTTCAAGCTACATACTCTTCCCCTTCCTCACTGTATGTCCATATCAAAGGAAATGGGAACTAAAGAATGACATATAAGCTGAATTCCTGGAACACTTAGGGTCCCTCTCAGTGTGCAGGCATGGCGCTCTCTCTCTCTCCCCCTAGTCTCTATTGTCACTGTCCCCCTCAGTGCCTTTACTCTCTCTGTCTTCATCTCTCTCTATTGTCACTGTTCCTCTCAATGCCTTTACTCTGTCTCTCTCACTGTCCCTCACTCTCTGCCTCTGAGAGGAGACCACACTGTTTGTAGAGTATTATCCCTTTTCTAATAAACTTTCCTTTTGACTCTGACTTTGGCGTGTGTGTTGAAGTCTTTATATACTCTCCACCAAAGGATCCTCTTCTTCTCTCAGTGCAGGGCTTGGTCTCCTCCCACCAACTCAGGGAAATTTGCCCTATCCTGCATCACTGTAGTTGTAATATCTGCTTTCTTCTTATCTTTGCAAACAGTGTTTTGAGACACAAGGTTTCTTTAGGCCCAGTCCAAAGGTTATTTTGCTGTTTGTATTATTGTTTACTCTTACATATATAACATCGTAATTTTCACAGCTCTAAGAGGTAATCACCTTCGAACTTTTTATTTGAATATTGTCATTTATTTTTTAAGTAGCAAGTACATACAGCTAAGTACACAAATCCTGAGTGTACAGCCCAAGGTCACAAAGTGAACACACCTGTGTAATCATTACACAGAACATTACATAATACAGCACATTACCAGTGTTTCAGAAACTCCTTTGTGCCCCCTCCCAGCCATTGATCCCAGCCTTCACTCCAAAGATAACTACATACCTGGCTTTTCACACCATAGATTGCATGTCTGGAATGAAGGTCTCTTCTCTGTAGCTAACACATGAATTATCTTAGCTGAATCAGCCTGCTATAACAAAGTACCACAAAAATTGGGTGGTATAAACAATATAAATTTATTTCTTACAGTTCTAGAGGCTGGGAAGTCTGAGATCAAGGTGCCAGCCAATTTGGTTCCTGGTGAGAGAGCTCCCTTCCTTCCTGGCTTGTAGTTAGGCCCTTCTCGGTGTGTTCTTACCTGGTGCAGGGAGTAAAGGTGCAGGGGGGAGAGTAATCTGTAGCACTCTTCTTATAAGGACATAGTTCTATAGGATTATGGCCCCACCCTATGATCTTTTTTTAACCTTAGTCATCTAAAGACCCTATCTTCAAATATAGTCACACTGGGGATAGGGCTTCAACATATGAATTTTTGGGGGGACACAAGTCCATACCAGAAGCCAGGGTATCTAAGACTTTGGTGGTGTTAGAATCCCCTGAAGAATGTATTGATTCAGATTTCATATCCTGTCCAGAAGACACTGAAAAGGAGGCCTAAGGTGGAAAATGTCCTTTGTATTGGTAACCTGTTTCCTTGATGACAGTCACTATTCTAACTGGAAAACCATTGTCTCAAGACAGCAAACTGAAACAGCCTCTTTTTGAACAGTTTGTCTTCCTTATTCATCCATCATCTCTCTGGCTAACACGTTTATCTCTACACAATTTGCATGAAGATTTTTGTGTCTGATTTGGAGAGGGTTGCAAATAATTGAGCAAACAGCATTTTTTTTTTTAATACAGGTTTTATATTGTACTTAGAATGGCTTCTCCTGTCATGTGGGACTAACTTCAATGTGAAGAGCATAGATAATGATTTCAAATTAGAATCTTAGGTAAATGTCCCATAACTTTTACTAGAGTGTCCTAGATGTCCCCATGTTGCAAAGCATTTCAGCAATACTTATTTTAAATAAACATTTCTTTTTCAGGTTCTGAGTGCCTAATAAGCACCAGATACACTGAGCAGGCCTGCCTGACCAAGCTCCTTTCCCACAGATGTCTCCTTTTGGAGCTAGAGAAAAGGATTGCCTGTATTGCGGTTTTGGCACCAACTCTTAGATTTTCTCTGACACCACTGAGTGTCCACCAATTCATTTCAATTCCAGTACTAATTGATTAGAGTTAGAGTCAGACCCCACAACTGTAAGAATTCAGTTCCACAGGATTACATGCACTCCAGAAACCAACTGCAAGTCCTAGGGGCCCACCCATACTTCTGATGGATCATCAGAGGTTCCTATGGCTCCCTCCTCAGTTTCAATAATTCACTAGAATGACTCATAGAACTCAAGAAAACACTTTACTTATGTTTACTGATTTATTATAAAGGATACAAGTCAAGAATAGCCAAATAGAAGAGATGCATAGGAACAAGGGGAGGAGCTTCCATGCTCTCTCTCAAGGTGCTCTACTCACCTCTAGTCCTTAAATGTATTCACCAACCAGGAAGGTCTCTGAGCCCTGCTGTTTAGGGATTTTAATAGAGATTCCATTATATAGGCATAATTGATTAACTCATTGGCCATTGGTGATTGAATTCAATTTCCAGCCCTCTATCCTTCCTAGAGATTGGGAGGGCTGAAATTCCCAACTTTCTAATTACATGGTTGGTTCTTCTATGTGGATGAAAAAGGGGCCACATCATAAACCTGACAAGCTCACGAAAGGCCAGCATGGTGGGCCCTACAAACTCAGAGGCTGAAATTAACCACGTAGTATGGTCTGAACATAAAAATTCCTAACTAAAAGTAGGCCATGGTAGGCAGTCACATCCTAAACCTGTAGCTTTCTTGACAAGGGTCAGTTTGTACCTTAAGTAAGCTTGTCTATTGTCTTTTTGCATCTAAGATAATACACCCTTGGAATGTCAGAGTAATCCCTTGTGCTGTAAATATTATTAACTCTCTCATACCCACCAATGTAAAAGAAGTATGTGTCCCTCCATTTTACTTTTTATCCAGTCCCAGAGATTTTCCCTCTTTGCTTTCTCCCGCTCCCTTAATCTACCACCAATGTGTTAGATAGTCAGGCAGAAGTGGCAGGAGCCAAGGCCCAGCTCTGTAACCATAGAAACTTCCTTTGATGACCTTCCTTAAGGACCTCCCAGAAACACCTCCCTTTTAGGGTTATAAATTACTCCAAATCCTAGAGCACAAAGGCCATAAAAGCTGCTGGCTAAACCAGCTACAAACACATGTGCAGAAAGTACTG